TGCAATGTACTGGACTATTAATGCCCATCTTCCAAATACTGTACTGTTGTGCCAGTTCCAATCTTCTCTGATGTGTGGTATTTAACAGTACACTGACATAACTCAGGCTAGCAAGCCAAATGGACAACACTGGCTCTGTAAGCTACAGAAGTGATGAAGCAGTATTATTAACATGCTTTTAAGCTGATAGGATTTGAATCATTATTATAAAATGCCTTCCAAATCCTTGAACTAGATTTAAAATAAATAAAACAAGTATGCTAAAAAAGACAATGAACTTCCATGTTCAGTCTCTGTTGTATGTTCTTCAGAACTGGCCCCTAACTCCCTAGAAACTGCTTTTTGAGGAAGAGAAGGGGACAGAATAGTTATGATGATACAGATTTTTTGCTCTCTGAGAAGAGCAAAAGTGAACTGTTTAAATCATCCCCTTTTTCTAGTGAAGTTGATCAGTACTAGCTGGCTTTTGCTTTAAGGGTAACCTGTGCCAGTACAGACCAAGTGACCACATGGCATTCATGCGCGTTAGAGGAAGGTGGTAAAATCCACACCTAAAGCACACATGTAAACCTCCCTCTTTGCCAAGAATTTGTGCTGTAGGCAGGCAGAGGAACAGCTGTGTGAAAGTAACTACAGGCTGAGCACGTAAAAGCACTGCTCACATGACAGATCTTCGACGAACCTTCTCAGCCCAGCCTTTTTTCTTGACTCGGTTTGGGGAGCAAATGTTTTTATGCTGATGTCAGCATCCCTTGTTTTTCAACCATGGCAAAAGCCTTAGAAACCAAAGGGGAAAAGCTGTGTTGCCCTCCAGAGCAGCGTGTCTGCCATGCCCTGATAAACCCTCCGGAGGAGGGCTGTATTCCAGCAGTTTTTATGGGTGGGGACTTCGGCTCAGCCTTAGCACCTCCAAGGACCTCACTTAGGGAGGTGTTCAGAGTTTGTCCCTCCCAGACTTCAAAGCTGAGTGGTAATTAGTTTACTGTAAAAGACTTTATGTACCTCAAAAAAACTTCCAGACATCCTCAGATGACAGAGAGGATTACAGGGTTCACTTTCCTTCTGAGGCAGTGAAGTGCTGCTCTTCAAGCACATGTTCAGCCACCACTAAACTCCAGATGCTCCCACTTAGTCGCAGTGGCACTTCAGCCTGCTCAAAACAACTGAAAATGATAGCCTGGAGCTCTGACGACTGAATCACTTCCATAAACCAGATCTCACTAGGAGGGGGGAAATCCTATTACAAGAACCAGTAACTTAGCAGGCTGTTTCCCCAGGAATCTACGTAAGATAGGTCAGGCTTGTTTTAAATACCTTCAGAGAGGGTAGGAGTATTTTCCAGTCACTCTAATGGCACACACAGCAACATGTCCTACTGCGCTTAACGGAGGGCCTGGTTCTAAATGTTGCCGATTAGTTAGGAGGAGGATGAGGCTGAGTTTATCAGCCTTTACACTGCCTGAACACACACCCTGGGAAACAATGACGATAACTCAAAGAGTGTTGAGTTTTTGGCATCTCAGTGGAGCACTTCTAAAAGTTCCACCAAGACACAGTGGTGAAGAATTCCAGTGTTCTTCCCTGCAGAGAACTAAGCTCAGGGACCTGTCCCATAGCAGTCTTTGTGTGTGAGGCTCTCCAGCAGCAGAGAGGAAAGCGAGCTGTTTCTGTGGAAGGGAACGCTGAACAGCCCCTGTCCTGAACCTCACCCATTTATCTTGCAAAGGCACTTGACAAATGAAAGAAAGCAGAACCAAATTCTCTCTGATGTGAAAGAAGACAGGGAGACACCAGCTCTGCAGCACAGCTGTCCCCTGCCACCTCCCCTCTGCTAACCTCACACCACCTAACTTTCACACCCCTGGAGGGTAAAACATTCAGAAATAAAGAGAACCCAGCCTCGACAATGTGTGGCCTTTAATCCCCAAACGTGCAGGCAACATCATATTAAAACAGTAAAATTAATAGTTAATGGCTGTTTCTTCCCTTTAACTAATAACATAAATTTTTAAGGTTAAAGTCACATTTGCTGTGCTACATATGGTTTCTCAAGATCAAATCTTTAATTCCGTACTTGGCACTTAATACTGCAAGATGTATAAAGACGTAAATTCAGTAAAATTATGTAGGAAGTACTGTGTAATTTCATTTTCTTCAGCAAGGAGGACAGGAAGATTGAACAGTTAAAAACACAAACTAAAGAAAACTGGTCATAAATTTTAGTTTGCCTCTCTTTCTTCAGATGCAGGACTGTGTAGTCAGAGTCCTACCTGCCAGGAAAGACCTTAACATCATCACTGAATCTGAAACCAACATCAGTAACAGCTTAGACACGCTTATGTATCTTTGCTGAAATACAGACACAGGAGATTTCCAGTGCAGAACTAAAGGTTAGTTTCTACAACTGTCTGCATAATGAGAACATGTTCTGCAGATACTCTAAGGAAACCTCCACTCTCTCCAATGTTCACTAAAAACAAAGAGACCAAAAGAAATAAAGTGCCAATATCTGTAGTAGCTCTGAAAATGTAACACCATAAAGGTTCTGAACTGCTAACTGTATCATGTTCTTACATAGTCACATCTTTCAACAAAACTACTGCCAAAAATGAGGCCTGAATGCAAGTGAACACTTGTTTTAAGTTTTCAAACTCTTTTTCTCTACTGTTATAGATGCTGTTCTTTGACACCTCTTTACACTACTGCACTATTTGTTTCAAACATAAACTCCACAGGTTTTCCCCTATCTCAGAGCCTACAACAGAATAAATTACAAGAATATGCCAAGTGCTGTAAAAACCATTCATTCTCACATTTTTCACCACTGAGAATGACTTAAAAAGGTCATGAGCATAAACTCTTAATACTTCACCAGCCTCAGTTTTTCCCTCCCCTCTGTGGAATAGGAGAACTTAAATCCTTCCCAATTCCCAACTCAGAAATGGAGAGTGCTTTCACAAAACAGTTTCTTAACAGAACCTGCTACATTTCATGCTGTTCGAGAGTACACAGGCAAATCTCAAACATCAGCACACAGGATTGCTTGAAACTCCTTCCTTTGCAACCTTGAAAAATGCTGAACCATTTTACAGTTACATGCACATCTAGACACAAAAAAACAACACACAGGATGTACATGCTGCTTTTTAAGTGCACAATAACTGAGAGCTGCTAAAAAAGAAATTTACATATCCCTACCTCCAAAACAGGCTAACCAAGGTCTTTGGTTTCACTCTGTTAAATTGCAATTAACTGTCCTCAGCTTGCCTGGCTTTTGGATAGACTACAGTTACATAGAAATTGCAAAAATATTCTAAATGTGGCGACCGCAAAGGGCAGTGCCTAGAACTGAGTAGTTATTGAATTGTACCCATTTTTACTTGAATCAAAAGCCTTTGAAAATGCTCTCCAAAGCAGGTTTATTTTCAAGCACCAGCCTGCTCCTCACAGCACCCCAATTTTCCTATTTTTTTCAACAGTCATCAAGCTGCCAACTATTTTCCTACTGAAGAATATGTCACTTGTTAGAACAAGCCTTTCATGTGTAATTCATCAAATCAGATACTGGCACAGAGATCAGCAAAAGGAGCCAGTTTAAAGTCCAAGACAGACAGAACAAGCAGCAGGTTAAAAAATTAAAGTTTTTGAAGAATGCAACCTCTTTTTCAAAACAGGCACAAATTAGACATACCACAGCTGTGATGCATGAGCACCCATGGTGGCAGAGTATTTAATGTGCCAGAAGACTGCTTATTATGCATCAACTTGGAATAGCACAGGAGTTCCTGGGTGCTAACACAGGAGATACAGGAGATGATCAGGATGCTGGCATTTGCACGGTGGTCCACCTAGAAGGAGTGGTTTTCCTGGCCTGGGCAACTTAATAATAAAAGGAGGTCAAAAAGTGAGTAGGAAAGAGGAGGGGGACTGAAGACTTCAAGGCAGACAAGAGAAATTATAGCCCTTGACAGTTTTGTTTTTATCTTCAGTGACAGAAGACCAGAGAGGAGAGTGCAGCAGACATTTCTCATTTCTGACATTGTGGGAAAAAAAAGTAGAAATTATCCAAATATTTAGGTAAGAGGTCTCAGGAAAGAGGGATGTCAGAAAATACTCTGATACTGTGGCAATATGCCCGATTTTGAACCTGCAATCTCACTAAGTGAAAAAGTTCACCAAGAACTAGAGCTTACCACCATGGCTTCTCTGATACCATAAGCATCAGCATGAATCAATTACTGAGTCTTTCTACCAGCTGAAGTTGCAATTACATTTCAACTAAAACCCCTCTGTTAATTTGAAATGGGACAGAGATCTATGCCAGAGCAAACTTCCACTTAACAAGAAGCTGACAAAAAGTTAGAGAAGACAGCAGTTTATAAATCAAAGCATTACTCTGAAACTGCTTTAAAGTCCCCAAAGCAGGTAGCTCAAGTCCTTTGGTAGCAATACTTCTACCCCACAGCACACAGATCCAGATTTGCCACGTAGGAACTTTGCAGCAATTCACATTGAGACTCAGCACTGCCCAGAGTGCAGCAGCCAGCACCGACAGAGCAGTCTGCAAACAGCTGAATGCGTCCAACAACCAACTCCCCAGCCCTGCACAGAGATTACACACCTTCAGCTCTTGCAATACCTACACAGCTCCAGCTTGCAGAGCATGCGCCCACTCTATCTTATGAACAGATTTCCTTTGATGTGTCATTTAAATCTGAAGGAAGGCAAATGCAGCTGTTTGAGTCATCTGCAGCAAGTTACATCAACAGTTTCTTGTCAGTTCTGTACCAAACATGCTTCCACAAGAAGAAACAATACAGCCAATCTAAGGAAGATTCCTTTGCCTCTGAAGAATGACCTGAGATTTTCATCCACCTCCTTCTCCTGATCTAAAACTGACCCACCCACTATTGCTAGAAAATAAAGTTTTCATTTAAACACTCAGATTTAAGTTTATTCATACACAGCAAAAGTTCCACCTGCATATTAAAAAAACCAGATTAGAAGTAAATGTTTTATTCTTCCAACTAAATTCCAGTACTACAAGGGCAGTAAAACAATGATACACTGAAAAATTGCAGCAATAAACATTTGTTAAAGACTGATAGAATAAATAAAAACTACAAAAATGAGAAATCATATAAACCCATTCTTAACCCCCAAAAAAGTCATGGAATACAGAAATGCCCTCCTTCACTATTTCACAGGCAGTACTGTGGGCTATTTGCTTAAAATTGTCCTGGGATTACATTCTAACTTAACTGTGATTACAGCTTTGTTGTAGTGCACAGTTATGAAAACCACACTAACTTCAGTCAGAAGTGTCATTCTACATTTTTATTTACACAACCAGTGAAGGGCAACTTCTAGAACACCAGCTTTAATCCTTTACTTTTTCAAACTTATTAACATAAGAAGCCAAATCGTAATGATACAGCAAATGAGGCCACTGGTATTATTACAGGTAGCAAAGGTCCACATCCAGGTGGTACTGACATCAGGGAGCACTCCAAAACCAGTTGCTGCATAAGAGTGGTTGCCACTGACAAAAGCTTGAAATAACCTGTGTTCACAGGGGGAAAAAATATGGCATTGCTGCAAGTCTTTACTGGGACAGCTTGCAACAATAAAACAGGGTGTATAGGGCAGCCCACATATGCAGAGAGTGTGATTCATGAAACATCTGGAAAGAGAAAAAACAAAAGTTAACAACAGAGGTAGCAAATGCCAGCTCTATCACACACCTCCTATGGCAGTATCAAAACCCAGCAAGCTACGGGAGACAGTTCTACATGTTTTAAACACGAGCTACATTTTCTCTCACACCCCCCTTTCAACCTCAGTCTTCCATATTATCCATTTCAAGTATTTTACCTTAGGGCCTAGCTGAAGCTTAACAACAAACAACAGCCATTTAAATTATTGAACATTTGGTAATTCAATGCTGCTACAGGGACCAGAAGAAACAGATACTCACAACTGGCAGGCTGTTCTCCATATCGTCGCATGATCTGGTCATGCGTGAACTTCACAAATGCGTCATATTGTTCTGCAAGGATGAAGCATTAGAAGTGTATTAAGTTAACTCAAGCTGAAAAATACTCAGGGCTAATTTTTATACACAGAAGTCATACAAAGTTATATACACACACCCACTACTAGTAGTTTTAAGTGACATTACACAGTTCATCACTGTCATTTCCTTTTTATCCCCCAGAACAACAATGCAGCACGTCCCCTTAATTAAAAGACTTCCCCTTACAAAGTTCTGTAATGAGAAGGACAGCAATATGCTCAAAAAGAATTATGCTGCACATAAACAAAGACCTTAATATACATAACTCCTACTAAGTGTCACACACTGTATTTTGAACTAATGAAGTGTGCCCATTTCACAGATCCATAATGGGGGCAGAGTAGTTACAGTGAACATGGCATTAAGGTCAGTGTTAGGTTTGGAAACAATTTCTCTCCTCCTATCACTACCAGATGTAAGAAAATTAATTCAATGAAATGGAAACACAGAAGCGCAGGGAAGGGATTTGCTACAGAGTTAGAAATTCTTTTTTGGTGACCACCAGAAAAATCAAAAGCAAACGAGAAACTAAAAGGATGAAATGCTAAGTGACTAAAACCAAGTAATTGCGATCACAAAAGTAGCTACTATAGGAGACACAGTTGACTGTGGACTGCATGAAAACAGCTACTGTGCCGTCTGAAATGAAATTTACATATGAAATGTACTAATCTGGCTTTGAACTAAGCACTGTTATTTCCCACAAAGGTTGTTCTTTCTATACACACATACATACAAATACATTTGCAGTATTTTATTCAGTTTTAATATTGCACTCATCAGCAGGATATCACCTTTCAGAATTAGGAAATTGAACAAGGAGAGTAATATCTACCAGATGCCGCTCCTCTCCATTCCCCTTCCTCCCTTGTGGAAAAATACATGTGCAGCAATGTGGGGTGTTCTGAGAAAAGGGCAAGGTCAAAGAAGGCAATCTTCAACCAAAAATGCAGTTAGATTTGTGGTGGTTCCTAGTCCCACAGGTTTGCCCCATTAAAGTTCCCATCCTCTTGAAGGGATGAGCTTCACCTTTGAAGTAAACAGGGTATCAGTAATCAGCAAGTAGTGCAGCAGCAGCCCAAAGTACGGACTGGACCCAAAGATCTAAGGACATTCATCCCTGACCAAGGGGGCCCAGAGTCACAGCAGCCAGTTCCCCTCTGCCCACAAGCAGGACCTGTTTCACTGCAGTTCCGACCAACTGCTTTTCGGCAGCCATGCAAGCAAGGACTGTAGCCAAACAACAAAGTATCACAAAGAGCAGGCTGAAGGATCTGTTGCCCAGAAGCCATTTCAAAAAATAAGAGCAACTAGAACTTTTCCTGAAAGTATGTGTTAAAGGCCAAAAATGAGCTTGCAAACTTCCTTCTTTAAAGCTGTATGTCAACATGCACAGCTGCTTTGTAAACATCATCTTTGTTTGAAACTATGGCTTTGCAAATTTTAAAAAATCCAGTTACTAAAAAGCCCCTTTCCTATGGCAGATTCAGAAGTTAAGCAATCCAAAGGTAACAGCAACCTACAGTGAACAATTTGAAAATTTAAGTGAACACTGGTAAAGATACTTACATCAATGTCATCCTGTATCATATACATTCTAAGTCAAAAGCTGGCTAAATGCAATGTATACGAATATTATTACTACAGTCTTTGCCTCGACCTTCAATATGAAAGGCTGTTTTTCACAGATTATAGAAAACCTTTCTAGTCAGTCTTTCACTTAGCCCCTTGCAAACCCAAGTTCATGCTAACACAGCAGTTTCAGGTAACAGAGGCAGGAAGGGAAATCAGAGCATTACAGTGATCTGAGTTTTCCATTTACCAAATGCTCATTCTGCATGAAAAGCAACTCGGCTCACAAAGAACATGGGAAAAGAAAAGAATAGGCAGTACCTGGCTAACTACCTACAAGACAACTGTGAAAGGAATAAGGAAAGTATCTGAACGTACACATTCAGTTAAGTCACTTGAAAGAAGCTATTCAACTGAGATTTATTATGGAATTTCCAGTTAATTTCCACTGACTTCACTAAGAATGAGAATCTCGTTACTGCACCAAGTTTAGAAAAGCATATAATCATTCTGTCAGCAGACAACTACAACTGGCCTTCTATGTGAGGAATTTCTAAATTCTTTTGGCAGTCTCTAAATTCCCACATAATGCTGAAAATGTATTATTGGCCTTGTATATGAGATGCAGTAATGTAATCATCCTAACTGCTCTTGGTAAGCACCATCGTACAAAGAAGTAAACCCAACTCACCTTACTAAACCACAACTCCCCAGATGGAATTCAATCCCCTCCCTTCCCAAAAACAAAACTGACAATGCTCCCTTTGGGACTGAAAGATAGAGCACATACAGGGATCTTGACAGGAGGGTTTCCTGCTTGTAAAGAACTACAAGTTTGTACTCTGAAAGCATCTGGAACCAATGAAAATCTATCTGGCCTTCAAATGGTTATGATCGCTGCTAAATGAAATACATTTGAGAGAATACAAGAACTAACCCAATTCCTAACAAACACAAATTAGGAGAAAAAAGTTCTGCAGTCCTAATTCATCATTTGAAGCAGGTTAAAAAGTAAAACACAGAAATGGAACATTGGGCTCAAAGCAACAGAAGTATTCAGGACTCTATAGTTAGAGTTGTAAATAGATGTAGATTTACAAAGGACTTAAAACTATAAGAATTTCTTACGCAGAAATGACAGATCAGCAAGAACAGAACACGAACTGAACCTCAGTGCAAACACAATACTCTCACAGGCAACCCACAAGCCTGACACAGGTCTGGTGACTTTCTGCACAGGCATGCCTATAGAAGGTTTTATTCACATGCCTGAAGGGATCAACAAACTTTATTTCTAAAGTGTTTTCAGGTGGGAAGCAGAACAGCTGTAGGTATTCAAACACAAGTCTGCTGCTGAACAGTCCACTCAGATGCTCATTATAATCACACTAAATATTAAATTAGACACCAGATCATACTGTGAAGGTGCCTACTGTGAACGCACCAGAATTTAGGTGCTCAAATGCCAGCAAGAGCCTTAGAAGTAGAGGACTTCAAAAACTGAAGAAAGGTCATAATTACAATGCTGACATTAACGTGATCCTTTTGGAAAGATAAGCTGGCATCAAGTGCCAAAAATTTCAGCTGAATGGTGTGAAATACAGCAATTCAACACATCAGAAATGCAGTTAAACTGACTCTCAGGCAGATATCAAACACTGCTGGCAGAAGTGTAATGTTAATACTGGGAAGAGAAAAGGAAATCTTAGGTACTGTCATCTTGCCAAATTCCAGAAAAAAGAAGTCAGTTCCCAAGCAGGGAAAAAAACCCCAAAACACAACAAGTTCTTCACAAAGAGCTCTCAGGGCAGTAGAATACAAAGTCTTTCTGGGAAAAAAAAAATGAGGAGGAAATGATCAATTCAAACACCATAGCAAGAGACAGTTCTAACTGAAATAAAACCACTGTTTTCACTGATTAGTAATACCCGGGAGTCATAGTTTCTATCCAAAGCAGCACAGAAGAAAAAAAAAAGAAGTAAACATCATTTTTTCTGTTCTGCATGTAACCCCAGTCCTTAATAAGAGAGGTCAGGGAAAAAAAAAAACCAAAACATTGTATCACAAAAATAAGAAAAAGTTTTAAGCTTTCAAACTCACTCTAAGACACTATTCTGAACTGTAAGATACCTGCAAGTTTTGTGGTCAAAATTTCTTCATACTCTTCACGAATTTTCTCTTCACGTTCTTTCAGCAAACGTTCACAGATCATTCCAACTTGTCTGAGAGTAAACAGGGGCTGTTCTTTTTTCAATGGTGATGATGCTGCAGATGAAGTACCTAAGATTAAATATTTGGGCACAACAATTTACAAGTTAATCAGAACCATTTTTATAATCAGTTTTTTTCACATCTTTTACACTAAAGGAACTTTACAAAATATGTGGAGAAATCTTTCTCTGCTACTTGAACCTCCTAATTACTATTAAAGTAGAACTGGATGCTCAAAAGGAACACATCTGCAGTGGATAACAAGCACAACTACCAAAACATGAAGAGTGTTACACAAACACTATGAACACCATTTATATGGCAGTAAAAACTTAAGCTTCTATTTTATATAAAAACTACAGTACAGTATCACAGTATGCTGTATTAGTGCAATGACAGCTGCTTTGCAAAAGCCTATTATAATATCAGGGACAGGGTATGCAGGACAGTCTCTTGAAAACAAATGCCAGTTTACATCCTACTAATTCTGAAAATGAGGAGCTACCATCTAGTATTAACAAAAAAAGGCAGCAGTAACTGGTGAAAATGTGTCATAAACCACCAGGTAACTAGGTAAAATTATTTACGCAGAGTCTAAAACCACACAGAATTACATGGAATTTTCTGGGTACCTGGCAAAGCTGGTCCAGTAAGTAGAAATGCATGTGGCTGTGCATCAGTAGAACAACAAGGATCTGTCTGCTGGAAAGTATTTTCTAAATGTCTTCTCTTCTGCATGCGTTTGTACTCCTGTTTTATGTTGTACAGAATTTGTTCTAAAAAAAAAAAAAAAAGAAAAAAAGCCTAAAACAATTACATGTCACCATTTTGCTTGATTTTCACTCAAACACCAAAATGCTGTAGGCACATCACAGATGACAAAAGGTAGACAGACTCTTACAAGATGGCCTGCAAAAACCACTATGTTTTTTTTAAGATATATACAATTAAACTACTTAAAAGAAATGTTAACCCAGACCTTTTAACCAGGAGAATAACTAGCAAAAACATTGTTAGTTAAGGTCAAGTATTGGTGCCAGAGTTCTGCTAACAAAAATGACCAGCATCCTAAAATTTAGGAGCTATCAACTATACAATACACAGGGACAAAAATTAGGCTATAAAACTTATACTGGTATTAATCATCTTCCCTTCATACATTTAATTTGCAACCATTTTTCTCACCCACACAGCATTTATCACTCATACAATTAACAGTAACAGGAGACTCTAGAATAAAACATCCACATGAAATACTATTCCACTCTGTAGGCTGAGTGGCCTACAGGCAGCACAGTGAAGAATAAGAAAACACAATTTAGACAACATGCAAAGAACACCTACTGCTTAAAATATCAAAGAATTGAAAACTGACAGGCAAAACACAAAAGCCTTCCACAACAATCCTGACAGCCTCAGATCTATCTAAATAAGCATAATGGATGGATCAATAGTCTCTTTTAAAAGAGCATGGCAACATGTAGTTCAGCATTTGATTACACTAAAAAGAAATACAGATAATTATTCTAATAACCTCATCTCCACTACAGAATGACAAGGGAAAAAACAATCCCTGCAATGGAACTACCAATCCTGTGTACCTTCTCTCTGAAATTTCATGTACCAAATGGTTCTCACCTGCATTAGTGGCCTAACTGCATATCCTCTAGCAATGTAAAATATTAAAGAAATTTTTTAAAAAGTAAGTTTCTATTTTTTAAGGAGCCTTTTCCATAAAGATGCTTCTAAAAACTCTCTCTATGAGAATTCTTAGTTTTAAATGCTCAAACGCATTAAAAAAAAAAAAACAACCAAACAAAACCCCACAAACCAAACAAAAAACCCAGCCAAACAAAAAAAATCCCAACAGAAACCAAACCAAACCAACAAAACGAAACAAAACCCAAACCAAACAAAAACCCAGCACAAACAAACAAATAAAAACCCACAAATCCCTACAGGATTGGCTTTTCCTGAGACTTCTAAACTTTTTGGCAAAGACAGCTTTCTAAAACTCAGATACATACAAATCCATGTGATCATATCAAAGCTCAGAACCTTCCTACTTCTGTTCAACATTTTGCCAGTACAATACCACGAAAACTTCTCAACTAATTTTCACTTCTGTAATCCCTACACTACTGAGGTTCCATATCTGATCATTTTCTAGTAAGCAACCATGTGAAGCAAGTAACTTCAGCTACCAGCTTATTCAGTCAGTGGCTGAAGCCTCTAACAGACCAAGCAGAAGCAAATGTTCAACAATTCTTAGCTCAGATGTTTAAACACTGGTGTGGTTCTTCAATTCTTCAAGTCAGTTTAGAAGCTTCCGATTTACAAAGAGGAAGAAAATTGTTTCCAGTCAACAGGAATACCAGCATTTTCAGCAAAGGAGTTTCTTGGATTTTGTCCATTGATTAAAGCCTTTATACCTTTTCAGTCCAATGCCTGCAGTTGAACAATTTTCAGCTCCTTAAGATGAGGTCAAGAACTTGGCTCAAAGACGCAGCAAATACAGAAGACATAATAAGGAAGCACAGAAGGAAAACTGGAAACTAAGAAAGTGTTGGGGGGAAAGTACTTGGCAGGGAGGGGGGGTCTGGAGGATTCATGCTTTTTGTAGAACAAGATACATATACTGCAGAATGGCACAGAAATATAAATTGTGTTAAACCAAGATGGACGCAGGCTTCCAAAATTAAACAGAACCCCATCTAGAGTTTGTGAGGTGCAGACACACACATCAGTCAGAGAATGGCCCTGCAACATTTTTTCTCAATGACATTGTGGTGGTAAAACAATACTCCTCAAAATCAAGTGCTGTTCTAGCTAAAGTGATATTACATAATATTGAGAGAGAACCAAACTAGCTCGTAAGACCACATCTGTCCTAAAGCATGTCTACACTGTAAGAAACATGACTGCACACATTCACACTGTATTTGCATTAAGTGAAAAATGTAACAGACCATGCCCATCCTTCCCTACAACTACTGCGTTTTGGGAATAACTTTCCAAATCCCACATGAAAAATACCAGCCAAATTTCAGGTGTAACAACTTGAATAAAAATCTTCTCTACAGTTCTCCTTTGTGTTATCTTTTCGCAGAAACATTCTCAAACCACATTAACCACCAACATTATGAAGGACAAAAAAAGTAAACAGACTCTGGTCAACTAAGAAAACAGCAAGAGTTAAATCAACAATCACCAGCCAGGTTTCCTCCAGTTCTAACAACCCTGGAAATTTAACAGGCAATACTTTAGAGAAAATATTAAAATACCAGCCAGAATAGAAGGAGTAAAAGCAACGAGGTGGGAGGTAGGGAAATAGAGAGAGGCAGCAAAGAATTTAGGTACTGACTTTGGGAAAAATGTAACAACTAGGATAGAATACGAAGATTTGTGCACCAAAGACACATTATTCTATTCCAAATTATATTCAATTCTGGACAAAGAAGTCTCTTATATTACAGCAGTATCATCTTCTAATTTGGCAACACTTTTTAATTTGCCACCTTCAAATCTAGCTTCAAAAATCAAAAACCTCAAAAAACACCACTGACAGATACACTGGGAGATCCCTGTCCTGACAAAATCACTCTGACAGTTTGCTAACTATGGCTTCAGGTAAAGGTATAGAGCTAAGCATAATGCGATAGAGGGAGGGACTACTGAATAAACATGACACTGACTATATCACAAACAGCAACAGGAGAAAAAAGCCTGAAACATTCAGGCCTGGCTGACACTGTTTGGCACGTACATAACCTTGTCTGGTGAACGATATTCCTCTATTCAGACCAATTTAGGAGATTTAGGGCAATGTTCCTCAGTACACAGATTACAAGATGCACTCAGTACCTTCCTGATAGTAGGCAAGGTGACTGTGAGAATGACTCATCTCATGCCTTCCTGATTTATAAAATGGAGATTAACAGTCAAGAAACACAAGTTTAACACAGCACCAAACTTTCAATAACTTCTCACATAAGTGATCAGACCAGGAATGCTTCAAATAAAGCAGGCACATTTTTGCACCAGCAAAGACTGAGGCAGACATTTTTATTAACTTACAATGGCATAAAATCTTTGTCTTTAAAGAAAAGAGCTTCACTGTGAACTGAAATGTAAGATTACAAATATTTATGACATATTTTAAATGAAAATCTGAATGCCAAATTAAAATAATCTAGTACAGTAGGAAAAGTTGTTTAAACGCAGTAAGTTACTTCTATCATTTACAGTTCTGACTCATAAATCCACAAAAATATGTGGAAAACATTTTTATAGCATGTCAGCACCTGAGAGAAGCCATGAAATATTAAGCAGTGCAAACCAGACAATACCAATATAGCAGACATCTAACTGGAAAGACCTTTAAAACTCTGGCCCAGTTAAACAAAGGCTAGAGTTAACAGATCCAACCTAGTTTTGCTTCCAGAAAATCTTCCTGCCTTTTTTAAGTTCAGTTTCTTAACCTCTCTTACTTCCAATTATCTCTGACTATTCCCTCTGCAGTTGACAACTGAATTAAAATGTGCATTTAACTGGTGTCAAACACAGGACGGGGTTTTTTTATGTGTTCCTACACGTAGAGGCCCAAATTGTTCTTTACAACAATGACATGCACTTAATTAACACATTATTTTATATAAAAACCTAGAATCTTAAAGTACACTCATTAAAGAAAATCTAGTCTACGTGAGCTTCTCTAGGACTATAAAACTGAAGTGAGAACTTGGATATTACAACTTGTTAGGTTTTTTAACTACTGTCATCCATCTTATAGGTTAAAGTTCAAATCAAGCGTTGTAGGTCACGCAGTGATTTCATCTGAGATGACAAAAGGAACGAATACATTTAATATGATCAAACATACATCACTGTGGCCCATCCCCAGTTTCTTTTTAATTTCACTTTATCCCCTGTACTCAGCGTTTCCCACTGGGTTAGAGATGCCTCTGAAGGCACAGAGCTATTTAGGAGGGAAGACGAGGCAGAGGTGCTATAAGTGAAAATGAGACTTGCTGAATCTGGGGTAGCAGTAAGAAAAAGCCACAATGCTAATGCACTGAAGTGAATTAGTACTTCATAAAAAACACTTAAAATTCAAGATGACTACGAATCTGTGCCAGCTACACAAGAATCTGTTTTATACCCCCTTCTTCTCCTCCTTCAGGTTCAAGACTAAGATAAAGAATGATAAACCAAAAATGCTAATGTCTCACGGTAACCACAGAAAGCACCAGGGATTCAGTCAAATATACCTCAATACAATGAAATGCATGGACACTTTTTTTATCTGGAGCTGTGTACTGACAGCATAAAGCTGAGTACAACAGTTCACGAAAAACTGCATTAAGAAGGACAGCTTTCACACCAATTTTCTTTCAGAACTTAAGATGCAACTCAGTGAAGGAAGATTTCCTAATGAAGACAGGATGAAACGTAACATCGGCAAATCAGAGTCCAAGTCTGACATCTGAAATATGATCTGTCACATTAATAGATTACAAAGCCAAATATTAATTTCCAAGCAGTGATGTAGTCTTCTAACTTCCTTTACTTCATGATAAAAAGTCAAGTCAATCTTTTCCAAAATTCTGTCATCTACTTACTTCATCCTGACCTGTAATTATCTAGAAATTATGTACAAAGGAAACAGCAGTTCAATGTGAAAAGGTAACAAGGCAAACAATTATTTTCTCCATTTTAATAACTGCTTATCAACTGTGTAGGTGCTGATTGTTCCCCTGAAGGGTTTTTTTTTCTT